TACAACCCTACAGAGGTATAAGAAGAAAAGAAGTAATGATGGAGCAAACTGAGCCCAAAGCATCTAAAAGTGAAGGGCTTGCTAGGGAATATGCAACAGTTATTGAGCAGAAAGGACGTAAGAGAGAAGAACAGGAAGCCCCAGGGGTGAGGTGAGGGTAGGACCATTTGAGCTGGAGGTCAGTGGTAAAGCTGGGAAAGGTGGAGATGGTCTTGGTAAGTGAAAATGTATTTCCTGATTGAGCTAAGGAGGAAAGGCCCCTGGGAAACCATCTCACTTCCATCTTATACATCTCTTGATGGCACGCAATTAGAGAATCACCTTAGCAAAGCAAGTGTGAAGTTGTGTTCACGCCATACCAGCTTTACTTGAGAGGCTCTGCAGAAAAGCTGAAGAAAGAAAAGTGAAGAGAACATCTCATGTCCTGATGGGCCCTGTCTCCTTCCAGTGTCCTGAGTTCCGATAAAAGCACCTTTTACCCTGGAAACAAGCGATATCCTAGGAGGCTGCTGCTGAGTATGGAACAAATAAAAAGACTCAGGACCTACTCATTATCCAAGCACTGCTGTCCATCTATAGAAGTGGGAAAAGTCCCTGTGGGGAAAGCCTTGAACTAAGAACATGGGAAGAGGTATTAATGATGAAATTCCCACTTGCCTTTCCTGCCACATTAGGCCCTGGGAAACAACAGAACTCAAGGTCTCCCGCCCACTTCTGGTGGCCCAGGATCCTGTTCATCTACTGCAGTTATTTCTACTTCTGTCCAGCTGCCTCCAAAGAAAAATAAAGCAAGAAGGAGTGGCAGAGCAGCAGCAGCACAAACACAGCTGTGCACTCGCTCAGCCTAGCCTTGTGCTTAGTTCAAACAGTGAGATGTGACCCAGGGTCCAGAAGTCACCCCTCCCTACGTGCCCCAGGGGGCCAGCTCCCTGTGGCTGGTGTGTGTGTGTGGGGGGTACATTTGGTTGTTTAGTTGTTTAGTGTGGTGTCCTCCCCATAGGGGAGCACGCTCAGCAGGAAACGGGAGGAGAAAGGCAGAGAGGAGTAGGAAGGATGAGGAAGGATGACAGCCCTGCCACTGCTGCCCTTGTTCCAATACAGCGGCTCCCCTTTGACTTATTTGCCTCTCAAACTAAACAAACAAACAAAAACAAAACACATTACAGCCACTGGTCTTACATATTACGACCCTAGGAGCTCCCTAATACAATTATCCGTGGAAAGATTGTAAGGAATCAATTGTCAACCATTCCTGTCATGAAGGGTTGTCCATAAGGAGAACAAAGCTATGCAGAGGGAGAAGGAGGTGGAAGAGGAAGAGAACACACAGGGCCAGAGGGATGGACCTCAGGGGAGGCTTCTGGCAGGCAAGGGACACAGCAGAGTGGAGAACAACGACAAATACTCTCTATTTATAAGTGCAAGAAGCCAGACAAAGAAAAGCAAATTCACTTATATGGAGAATTTTTAAAGAAAATAGTCAAAGTGAGAAATAAGAGAGTAGAAGAAGCAGCGTTGCCAGGGGCTGGGAGGTGCGAAGTAGGAAAATGTTGGACAAAGGGTTAAAAACTTTCACCTGTCCAATGAATAAGTTCTGAGGATAATGAACAGCAAATGACTATAATTAGTAATGCTGCAGGTATACCTGTGCTAAGAGAGTAGATCTTCAACACTGCACCCCTCTAAAGGAGAGAGAGAGAAAGAGAGACAGAGACAGAGAGACAGAGGAGAGAGGTAATCGTGACAGGTGATGGGTGTGATAATTCACTTGACTGCAGTAATCATTTCACGATATGCACATATATCAAATTATGACACTGTACATGTCACAAATGTAGCATTTTATCTGTCGACTACAGCTCAGTAACAAAGATGAAACAAAAAATTTACCCTGATATTACAGGTGGCCCAGGCTAGCCCTGGTCACAGTCAGTAACAGCCACCCACCAGGGAAGCCTCAGACACCTATGTCAAGAGTTAGATGTTTAAGACTGAGATTCAAATAGAAATTCTGTAGACATATATTGACAAGACAGGAAAAAGGGTCCAGTATATTTTGTTACATTTTTTGTTACATTAAAACATTTTTAGGGCTGTGAATTTAGCTCAGTGGCACCACACGTGCCTCCAAGGTTCTGAGTTCGATCCCCAGTACTGCCAAAAAACAAAAAAACACACAAAAAAACTCACTTTAAATAAAGGAATATGTCCAATATAAAATGAACATATAAAGTATTCCAAAATGCAACAATATCTCTAAGTGAAAGGTCTGCGATTTAAAAAAATATATATTTAAAAATTTTTTATAATAGCCACATATTATGTGTGCCTCTTCTTTTAGGTTTAAAAATATGAATAACTGCATCAAACTGAAAAGTGCATAGCAAAACAAAGAATTAAAAACATAAAGTGTCAAACAGTGGATTGGTAGAAGACTTTTACAAACCATATGCTGAACACCACATGAGGTCTATCCAAAATCCATAAGGCATTCACATAACTCAAAGGCAAAATATGATAAATAAACAAATGAAACCTAATTAAAAAGTGGGTAAAGGACCTAAAGAGGTATTTTTTCCGAAGAAGATATTAAATAGCTAATAGGTATATGAAAAAAACATTACTCATTATCAAGAAAATACAAGTCAGAATTATGAGCTATCATCCCCCACACCTGTTAGGAGTCTAAAAGACAAGATGTGACCAGTGATGACCAGGGAGGTGACAAAGGGAACACGACACTGTTGATGGGAGTGCAAACTGGTGCAATCATTACAGAAGACGCCATGGAGATTCCTCAAAACATTTTTTTTTGAGACAGGGTCTCGCTATGTAATCCACCACAGGGTATATTCCTAGAGGAAATGAAACCAGCACCTCGTTGAGACATCTATACCCTTGTGTTCATTAATGATGAAAGATTTTACTTAGGAAAACTAATCTGCTAATAACTAGTGAGATAAATTGATATAATTTTATAAAGCTATTTCCAAACCCCTGAGGTACTGTCTGGCTAGGCAATTATTAGAAATTGCTAGTAACTGGGAAGCCAGGTTTGAGGTACCTCCTGATGGAATAATGAAGCAGAATCTAGGAAGAGTCCATATCAAAAATAAAAAACAAACACAAAGTGCAGTGTATAGTGGCCCGTGCTAAATGGCACTGAGAGGATGTCGGGACTGTGGCAAGTATAGAAAGATTGGCTCAGTTCTCTACAAGAAACAGGCAGCTATATGGAAGAGAACAAATCAATCAGTCAGTCAGTCAGACACAGCACAGGCACTGGGGGGAAGCCCCTTGCCCAGGCCAGGTGGCCTTTGGAGCCCTTCTCCCTCCCAGGCACCCTTTGGGCACCAACACAGCCCTCCTGCACTTTGCTGCCCCCGTGTGGCCAAGGGAAGATCTGACAATGGAATCCTAAGGATCTCCAGGGTTACCTTTGATAGTCTTCCCCCTTTCTCCATCATAACCAAGATTCGTCCTACTTAAGAACAGGGGCCTTCCAAGTAGCAAGTGCTAGGAAGGATCCTGGGACCTCCTATCTGCACACAATGCTAAAGAGCTAGTTACAGACTCTGCCTAGGCAGCAGGAGCCAGAGAACTAGCAAAGCTTCCAGAAATCACAGGGGACAGGAAGGAGGACAGGTGCAGAAAGGAGAGATGGAGGCCTTGGAGACTGACAGCAGTGGAAACACTGGCAAGCAGTGAAGCCACAATCTGACACTGGTGTCGGGAAGCACTGGGAGTGTCTGCAGAGCACTCAAGGTGAACTGTGTAGAGTGGCCTGTGCCACATGTTCCAGCTTCCACACAAACGGGAAACTCAGGGGCTCCCAGGCTCACTTTCCCTCTCCTGGCAGCATTAAATTCCAAGTACATCAGCTGCTGTTTGAACAAGCCAGGGAGATCCAGGAAATCATATCAGATGCAATATTATTATCAAAACATACAAAAAGATTCAACCTGACCCCCTCATCTTTGCAAAATCGTTATAAGGCATTCGTGCCGAGCTCTGAAATGATTCATCTTGTCTTACCCCAAACAATTTTTCTCTGCTGATGTGTTGGAGCTATAACAATAAAGTGACAAAATGCTCTGACGAGTGCATACTTTACTTTCATATATGCATACAAACACACACATTGTGGATGAAACTCTCAGGCTGTTACTCTCCCCCTCCCTCAGCTCCTTGGATATGATCCAGAGTTAAAAGGTCGTTATGCCCCGCCCATGTTGAGGCTCCAGGGCCAGACTGCCTGGGTTCCAGGGCAGCTCTAGCGTTTGCTGTGTGACCAGGGAGCAAATCACTAACTCACTAACCTTTCTGAGCTCTCGTTGACCCCTCTATTTAAGGGCGATAACAATAGTGCCACCTCATGGGGCTAAATGAGTTAATATCTACCTGGTGCTGAGATAGTACCCGGCACAAGTGCTGAAAGAACCCACTGACTCTGTCTCATTCTTAGTTTTTATAAAATGGGCTTGGAAAACAATTCATTAATTGAAAAAAAATTTAAGAAAAAACAATTTTCTCTCTTTTTTGAAAACGAATAAGCAACACTTATTAGCCAAAATTGGGTGGCAATTAAATGGTCTGTGCTACCTCATCTACCTCGAAAGTTTAGCGTCATCTCCAGGAAAATCACACTCAAGCACTTGCTCCCCTCCAAGTCTCTTTTTAAACTTCTTTACAATCATCCTTGGCATGCTCAGCCTCTCCATCAATTCTCCATTTTTAGGAAAAGTAAAGAACGTACGTGTGTGCACTTGTATGTGTAAGGGTACATGTGTGCTATGTACATGTTTGTACTACACGTGAGTATATACTGTATATATGCACATGCACAACTAGCAGGACAAGGTAGGTGGAGAGCAGCTGCTCTGACTTTTAATGGGAGCCCCCTTCCCCAACTTTCCTTTCCTCTCTGGCCCTGGCTTCCACCCCTTCCTCCCCAATTTCCGTCAGGCAATCCAGGAAGCTCTCACTCTAGCTACAGTTACCTATTGGTGTTCTCCAGCACCTCCACCTTCTTCCGAAGCTCCAAGTTCTCAGTTGAACAAGACTCCACTCTATGGAGGAGAGGAAAAGCAAACAAACAAAAATAAATAAAATCCACTGTTCTCCCTAGAGCACACAGTCAACCAGAAGCTTGTGCAGAGGTAGTTAGGATCTGGGAAAGGAGAGGGGAAGAAGTTGGCCAACCAAAGTTGGGAAGGCAATGAGGAGACAAAAAAAGGGGGGCTGAGTAACAAGAGCTCGAGCCTCAATGCTGGAAGGCTTATGGGATGGTACATCATATGACCTCTTGGGGACAGCCCCTTCCTCTCCTCTCTTCCCCACTATATTCACGCTTCTCCTCTGGATTGTACGGATTGGGGCCTGCTGGCTGTGCAAACATTGATTCACAGCCATAGGGTTGGGCAGTGGCAGAGGGAAAACAGGAGCCTAAGACAAGGGTGCTGGGTCTTGGAATCTGCATGCCAGAAGAGACTGTAAAGAGATCTTCAAGGCACTGCCCTGTGTCTGGACGTCTACTAGAAAACAACAGGATGGAATGGAGCTACTTAAACCTCAATCAGCGGATAGACACCTAACTTTCAACAGAACTTTTAGAACGAGCCAGGGTCTTCCAACCTCTGCTTTCCCCAGACAACAGCAAGACTCGTTTCTTATCTGGGGCCTCTTTATTATCCTGACACCAGCTGTTCAGCTGGAGAACTGTTTCCTAGGGCCAATAAGAACTGTACCCAGGCTTGGTGACTCACAACTGTAATCCCAGCACACTGGGAGGCTGAGGCAGGAGTCTTCCATGTTCAACCTCAGCCTGGGCCACTCAGAAACTTAGCAAGACTCTGACTCAGAAATAAAGAAATGTTTTAAAGGAGCCAATGATGTAGCTCAGTGTGAAAGCCTTGGGTTCAATCCCCAGTAGCAAAAAAACAATTGTAATTTGTGCTTTTCTAATGTCCCTCTATCCTCTTCAGAAGAACAAAACATGCCTTCATAGTTTTGGGAAAAGTCACCCACTCACCTACAAATGGATTGTAGTGGTCAGAAAATGTGCAGCGTGGGCAATGGGAGCCTGTGAAACACAGCTACTCCTTTGGGCTGAAACAGACAGCCTCCTCTGAGGAGTTCCAGGAACATTCGAAATGTCAATATTCTTGTGCGAAAGGCTGCCCCCATTCACTCAGGACCTTTGGCTTGAGGGGTAGTTTTCACTTCTTGCCATGGTTACAAATGTTCCGCCCCAAACAACCACTAGGTGGCAGGAAAAACACAGATAATAACCTGGGCTTGGAGGTGGCCATAAAGACGCACTTGGCTCCTCCAGACACGGCCCACCCAGTCTCTGCTATACTGCCCCTTCCACAGATTCTCGGCCACTTACTTTTTCTCCAAGCTGTCCATGTACTCTTTCTTCTTTCTCCTACTTTCCTGTGCAGAAATCTGAGAAGTAAAGATGGATGAAAGGATGAATTCATTACCCGGGAGTGAGACAGGACCCTGTTCACACAGTTATCAGCAAAGTCCTGCTCACTTCGGCAACCACCTCCCACCTACTTAACCTGCTGGCTCATGTCCCGGCCACCTCTCACTGCTGATGGCAATCTGCCACCAGCATGGGCCCCCAGAAGAAAGGCCACTGGCCTCTCAGGAGCCAGAGCAAACTTGTGAGGCCCAAGCCATTGAAAAGGCCTCAGGGAAGCAACACCAACTCTCTCTCTCTGGACTTTGGTTGGCTTGATGGCGATATTAAATAAGGCAACTGGGCTTGGATGTGTAGAAACTCCAGGCTGGTTCTGCACACGGATGAGGAGGAGTTAGTTTCTCTAGTTCTGCCTTCTGTGCCACCTCTCTCCTGCTTTGCCTACCCCAGCCCTGCTTAGCCTCAGAAGGTAACTGCTGAGCTCAGATATACACCATACAACTGCAGATTTATTTGTACTCAGAAATGTCTGGAAAGAAAATAAAATATACTTATGTGTGAGTACATGCATGTGTGTACTAGAGGGAAATATTGTGGACATCAGAAAAGTGAGATCTAAAAGGTTGAGATTTTAAAAAATCAATGTAAGCAGTGGCTCTTCTCCCGCCCTGCATAGGTCCCTGGGCAGCAAGGTGTGCATGCCGAGCTGCAAGTCCAGTGCACAGAGGTTTGGACAGGGCTGCAGAAGGGTCCAAACCCTTCTGGGGCACGGGTTCAGTGTGTCCCTCTCCTGGCCATGGGAAGGGAAGGGTTGAGCCTGGTCCACATCATGGGCAGGGCAGCCCTGGTCCTTAGGAAGGGAGGGAGGACCTTCAGGCTCGAGCCTGCTGTCTGCTCACGGGAGTGCCTTGATTTGAGGGCCTCACCTTGTTCTTGATTTTCCTCCGGATTTTCTTCAGGGCCTTTTCTTCTGATTTTGTTAGGGGCAACTTGGTGGGGATGGGATAGCCCTCGGCAATCAGGGTCCTCTTCTCCTCCTCTGTCAGGACCAGTGGGCCTGATCCCTGCAGTTTCTGTGCAGACCAAGGAAGAGAAAAGGGTCAGAGGGGAAGGGCAGGCCATGCCGATGGGGTCAGAGGCCTCGCTATAATGTCTTACGAGCTGTGCAAGACAAGACTCCCACGTGCTCTGCATGAAGAATGGCTGCTCTGAAGTGGAAATAATGATGGAGAAGAAACCCTCACGTGAGTGCTTTTACTCAAAGATTATAATTCCAGGGGAATAATACATAGCCTCTACCCATTATTTCCCAGGAAGCACCCTTCCAGCTAACACATCAAAAGTAAAAGAATAGGATTCATCTCTCACATCCCTGGAGATCTCCTGACCTTGGAGCAAAACAAGATCCACTTGGAGCTCTGCTTGTGGAAATTCACCTTTATAACGTGGTCTTTACACACCAGGTTGCCCCCACCTCCACCTATCGCTATGGTACCAGAGTCCTGAAGATGTACAGCCCTGTCCATGGGCACCTCTGACTATCTATCCATGATCAAGAGCACCAGACAGTGTCTCACTCAGCCCAGAAGTGTGTTTACATTCACTGCTACTTAGTACTATCTCCATGTCCTACCCCATGGAGGACCCCATCGTTCAATAGCTTCTGATCAAGATCATGAGACTGAGCTGATACTCATGGAAGAATGAGAGTCACTGAGTGCTTAGCTGTAATGTTAATTGAAGGTGTGTTAAAATGTGGACAAAGAGAACAGGTACACAGGTTTGTGTACAAGAGACTGAGATTGGTAATTCTGAGTCCTCACCTTTCACATATAGAAGGATTCCAGTTTCCAAAGGGGTGGGGGTTATCCACATTTTATCATTCTTAAGAGTCAATTGGTTTCTATTAGTCTTTAAGAGATTATAGTCAATTTACAACACCATGATTAGCAAATTTAAATAAAAAACAATCTTTCTAATCTACCCAGTCTGGGCATTTTGTTACAGCAACACAAAACAGACTGACAGAAATTCCACTAACAGTCAAACTCAAGCCTATGTAGTGGTGTACGTGCCTATACTCTCAGCACTATGGAGGCTGAGATCGAAAGTTCAAGCCCAGCCTGAGCAACTCAGCAGCTTAGAGATGATGTCTCAAAATAAAAAGGTCTGGGGATGCAGCTCAGTGCGATGGCCCTAGGTTCAATCCCTAGTACTGCACCAAAGATAAATAAATAACAAAAGAGAGAGAGGTGGGTTCGTTCTACCCAGAAAGGCCTGGGAATACTTACATGTGGAGCCGTAAGAAGAGGAGAGCTGGACAGAGCAGAGTGGGCCCGGGGCACGGCTCTGGCAGGACTGTGGGCCTGAGGCAGGCCAAATGGATGGAGGCGTGGGTTGGGGCTCAGGCTGCCCTCCGAGTCACTGCTGTGGCTGCTGGGAGGGGTTGGTGGTAAGTGCAGGTGGTCCACGGAGGCTGGAGAACAGAAAGTCCATCTCATTCATCTCTGAGCAGCAGCAGAGCAGGTCTTGTGGGGGGAGCCTGCTGTGTACGTCACTGGGGGACTGGGGACAGCTGGACAGAGCTGCCCCCAAAAGATGGCCAAGGTGTGCTGCTCTGGGAAGTGGGGTGGGGAAGAGGTGTACACAGCAGCCCTTCTTTTGTGTAGAAAAGGAGAGAAGTACTTGCTTGTCCTGGCATAAACTCTAGACATATACACCAGGCACTAACAAGCGTGTGACCCAGGATGGGCAGGGAGAAACTCCAGTGACTTTGACAGGGTGTTGACAAGTTTCACCGCATTCTTCTTAGATGAAGTTTGGTTTGTAAATGATACGAATGCATTATACACTTGAAAAGAAAATCTTTTTAAGAAACAGCAAAACCTGGGAGTCCTCACAGGGCACTTAGAGAAAAGCGTGATTGTTTCTGGAGGAATGTGCCTAATTGGGCCCACAGGCAAGAAGCCAGGCATTCTCCATTCAGAAAACATGAAATACACCTTTAGATGGACAAGCAGGCATGGGAAAAATAAACAGGGGTGCAGGGCCCCGCCTAGGCCCAGGCCTTTCCCTGGGAGTACGGTGCACTCTGCCAGGGCCCAGCCTCCAGGTGACAGGCAGGCAGTCCGGGGGGCGGGGAAGTACTCCTAGGCACCCTCCCTCTTTTTCTGGACAGTGGGTACTTCTGCCACACCAGCCCCTGTTGCTGAGCCGGGGGTGATAACCTCTGTGGAGGCCCTCACCCCAAGTCCCTTTGGGCCCCAGGACAATGGAGCTCTCAGTGTAGCAGCACAGAGCTGTGCGTGCACGATGCCTGGCCTGCCTGGCAGAGGACTATTTGGCCAGGGTGGCATCCAGGCAAGTACTCTCCTTGGCCCTTCTTCAGAGACTGACCCAGGGGCCACTCATGACGGAAGTCACAACGACTGACCCGAGACAAGTGACTCCCACCCAGAGATGACAAGCAGTAAATGGCGGCTCACCATCTTACGGAAGGATCTGAATATCCAGGGTCAGAGAGACTGAGGAACTCCTCAGCCATCCTGCCTGCTTCCATATTTCCTGGACATATCTCCCCTGCCCCCTCTGCAACATCCTACGGTTTTCTGAGTGCTTCTTCTTTCGCTTTTTCTCTGTCAGAACATTGCCAAAGAACTCCCTGTCCATTTCAGTGCCTGTCGGCACTCTTAAAGCTAAAAAATATTCTAGAACAATCCTGTATACTCTATTCCCAACACTCTTGCCAACAGTGCTAGCAGCTAAGGAGTTTAAGTGTGTACCTTAATATGTATGGACTTGGCTAGCAAGGAGGAGGTTTACAAGTGTTCACCAAGGTTTCCCCAATGCCATATAGATCATAGCAATGTATGACAAAAAATAAAAGCAGTCTGGCATGGTGGCACACAACTGTAATCCAAGCACTCTGGGAAGCTGAGGCAGGAGGTTTGCAAGTTCAAGCAGAGACTGGGCAATTTAAGGAGTTAGCAAGAACTTGTCTCAAAAAAAAAATTAGAAAAGGCTGGGTGAGGTAGCTCACTGTGAAGGCACTGGGTTCAACAACCAGCCCTTTAAAAAAAATAAGCAGGGCTAACTACTCATCAGGAGTGCCAGCTGCCAGCCATACTGTCCTGCTACATTTCTAAAAACTAAGTACCTAAACAGTGCTCTTTGCCTCTCATTTGGCAAGGGCCAAGTTATTCTAATATTTTTTCTCTGTTCCAAGCAGGGGCTTCCCCACAAAAGACAGGGAAAGCGAGAGAGAGCAAAGTGAACTTGAAGCTCACCTTTCTTACCCATGGAGAGCTTGCTGACCTGGACACAGGTGCCTGGGTATTAGATGACTAAATATCATCTGAAATGATGCTCTTGGGTTACTGAAAGAGCCAGAATGAGCCACTTTGCCTAGAAACTCTGAAGCATGCAAGGATATTGAATTCCCTTATCTCTCTATCCAGGACAATGAGGAAGGACTGCTATTTACTTGATTCTCAAAGCATTTCTCCTCCAGTGACCCTGCATTCCGAAGCCACTGTGGGATCTATTGTTATAGTTATGGCACCTTGTGAACCACACGGCAACACAAATTAAAAGAGCACGATGTATTCAATAGCAATAACCAGAGCCATAAAAATGAAAGGAATTACTTCCAAGTGGAATATAAAGCTCAAAGCCATAATGTACACCATTCAATGCAAAGAAATAGTATCTCAATATAGACTCTAGCCAATAGTATCAATTTTTAAAATTTAATCCCTTTTTACTGATCATAAAGGTCAATAAAAGTCCAACCGTAATGGAATGGTCACCAATGAAATCTTTACTTAGTTTCTAAGGGACTAAATGAGGCTTACACTTCCATGAGAATCTCAGATATAACACCCACATATTTATATACTGTAACATATACTCTTCTTCTGTAATAGTCGTATATGCCAATTTCTTATTTGTTGGCCACACAATGAACAGTACTTTTAAACATGAATTGTAAGTGTAAGCCAGGTGGGCACAGTGGCACAAGCCTGTGACCCTTATTACACAAGAAGATGAGGCAGAAGCATTGCAAATTTAAGGCCGGCCTGGGTAACTGAGACTTCATCTCAAAACACAGAAAAAAAAATTAAGTAAAAAGGCCAGGTTTGCACCTCAGTCGTAAAGTATTTGCCTAGCATGCATGAGCCCCTTGGTTCTATCCCCAGCATTACACACACGCAAAGAAGGGCACAACATAGAAAGGGAGGGGACAGCATGGACATAGGCATAGGGCCGAGAAGAACAGGATCTGTGCAGATGCCTCTATATAAGACACAGAGAGCTTCCTAGGACTCCATGAGGTTCAGGGGCCATGTACAGGACCTCAGCTGTAGGCTTCAGGGAGGAGAGAACAAGCAAAGTCAAATGACTTCAAGCTTGTCATCATTTAGTTGTGAACAGATGACAAGAAACCCAAAGAGAGGCCATGACGCTTCCAATAGGAAGGTGGCTCCTTGCAGCTATTTCACTCAGAATCAACATTTAAAACACTTCTAGGTAGATAAACTATGAATTCACTTTGCAGAGATTTAAAACGACAGTGGTTTTCACTAAGGAAGTGCCACTGTGTGTTGTATAGTATGTGTAGGGTTCACACAAGGAGGGCATAAGAGCAGTAGGTGCTGTACCCACTTCATAGCCATCTAGAAAGGGTTTGAAAACTCATGTTGGCTAGGAACAAAAGTGTGATAACACTTAGCTGGGAATTATATGTGCATAAGGGAAATAATCTAGAGATTTTAAAATGTGTGCTTGGAACAAAGATTTATTTAAGAACAGAGCTAGTCCACAAAGCAAGCTACACCTGTGGACTCAATGAATCGATTGCTCTTGCCCTTGAGCCTTTCTCTGCAGACCAAGCGACCACACAGGTAATGGAAGGACAGCAAGCCAAGTGGACACACCTTCTTTAGGAGAAAAGTTCAGGAACTGATCCACTTCATGAGGCTCCAGCTTAATCTTAGGGATAATCGTCTGGCATGAGGAGTCGACCTGCAGGAAGAATTTCAAACACGATGTTTAAAGATAGGAAAGCTTTTTGTCCTTGCAGTCTCCCTCCAAGGCCAGCCCCCTCTCTGGAGTTCAGGGGGATGTGGATTCTTCTTTACCAGGGATTCATTCGAATTCCCAATCTTCTCCAACCAAGTTTGCCACTACAGCTGATGGAGTTCTGTAAACTCTAACCCTGAAAGCTAAGGCTCACTTATCAGTGCTTCTTTTTAATGCTTTTGTGGAAGTCTAAAGGCATGTTATCATGAAATAATTGATAAATTTTCAAAAGGCCACAAGGCCTCCAGTTTTGCTTTTGGTAGGGCTGTGTGCACTCAGCCACATCCCCTCTGTCTAAAGTCTCCAATGACTGATGACATCTAACCATAAAATACCAGCCAGGAAAGGGGAAGAGCTGTCCAGCCACACAGTGAGCAACACTGTGCGTGAACCTGAGCTTAGTCAGTGATGTGCATACTCAAGAATCAGCAGAGCTCAAACCTTGGGGAGCAAGGAGACCAATACAGATCTCAGGAGCCCATCTGGTAAAGAGACACAGGAAACTCAGGAGAAAGACGTGTGAGGAGGAAGGGCACAGGTCTTCTGTCTACAGCCCCTCATCTACACAGTGAGGAAGTGGCAGTGTGTTCATGATCAACTGACTCTGTCACTTCTTCCCGAACAGGAGACAACACATCCTACTCTTAGAAGATCAGACTTCCTGGAGGTTAATGGAATCCATGTTTATAAGCAGAGGCTTTGGAAACTAGGACTGGCTTCCAACCTCTATCGGAACATTTACAAGGATGATGCTGGTTAATTTTCATACATTGAAAAAGACCCAGAGAGAAGATAGAATAGTGTTAAATTATATTTGCTTATAGGCATGGACATGAACAGGGAAGAGATTCCTGATTTTTTATGTTTTTCATAGGTAACACAATGTAAATCAGTAGGTGGAAGATTCCAGAATTGATCAGTGCCCTCCAGAATTGAGCAGTGCCCCCCAAAATTAAATATTATACAGAAAAGTAGCACTCCCAATAGTCATGGCACCATGAGGCATGAACCAGACCATCATCTTATCCACTCCCCTCCCACTGGCTTAAAAATCAACACCACAGAGGACTTTTACCACGAATATTTATCAGTGTTTTTACTTGTAATAACAGTAAAAAATGGATTAAGTTTTGCTTCTACTTTTTCTGGACAATGCCTTTAAAGCTTGTAATATAATCAATGCTGACCCCAAGTCGACATATTCATTATATATGCATACATGTAAACATACATATATACATATATATGTGCATACCAAATATGTATACATATATATATGTAGTCATGTGTAGTTACGTGCAGTTGTAGGCCTGCCCTTAAATATATACGATCACTAGAATAAAAGCCTTATTGGAGAATGTAGCTCTGTATCTTTTGACCCAACCTGAATATGCTGAAGAAAATTGAGTATACCCCAGTATTTGTTTCCAGAGGGGGCTCCTCCTTCTCAAAAGGGGTGGAGACTGCTGTAATGGTCAGGGTGACAGAGGGAACAAGTCCTGGGGGTGGTTCCTCCGTAATCGGCTCTGTCTTGATGGTTGCTGGAGGAAAGTCCGTTGACAAGTACCATTTCTCACTTTCTGCCTCCTCTGTGGAAAGAAGACAAGCACACACATGAGCTTGCTCGAGCATCCAGTGCAAGCAAAATTAATGACCACTGACCTTTCTAAAGAATAAATCTGCACAAAGAATCGTTGAGGGGAGGATACAAGGAAATAAAGCATGTGAGAAGGAGAAAAGTGGATGGATACATGCATGCCCATGTTTATAGCAGCACAATTTATTATAGCTAGGTCTTGGAAGCAGCCTAGATGTGCATCAACAGATGAATGGATTAAAAAAATGTGGCATTTATACAGAATAGAGTACTATTCTGCATAAAAAAGAATAAAGTTGAGATAATCATAGCAATTAAGAAGCTTCACTGGTCTCTGTCTGCATGAAGGTATGCTAAAGACTCTGGGAGAAGGACAGATAAAGGAACTTAGCTTCTCATGCAAAGCAAGACAGAGACTAGGTAGTGGGACAAAGATGGGAGACATTGTCAATGTATAATGAGTTATGCCTTTTGGTTTTAAAACCAAGTGCATATGCTATGTATTCAAGAGTAAATTTAAAAAATAGGTACCCCCAAAATAAAGACCCAATCAAAAAATGGGCAACTCAAATGAATAAACACAGAAGTATGGATGGACATTAAATACATGAAGAAATGCTCAACATCACTGGCCATTAGAGAAAGGCAGATTAAAACAACACTAACATTTCATCTTACTCCAAAAGAACAGCCATCACCAAGAAATCAAATAATAACCAATGTTTTTGAGGCTGTGGGGAAAAATGAACCCTTCTGCAATGTTGGTGGGAGTGTAAACTAATACGATCACTATGGAAATCAGTATGGAGATTCCTCAAAAAACTAAATTAGAAATTCCATGCGACCCAGCTATTCCCTATCTAGTTATCTTCCTGGAAGAATTAAGGTCATCATATCACAGTGATATATGCATACCCATGTTTATAGCAGCACAATTTATAATAAATAGCCAGATCTTGGAAACAGCCTATATGCCAATCAACAGATTGAGTGGATAAAGAAAATGGGATATTTATACACAATAGAGTACTACTCTGCCATAGAGAATAAAATTGAGACATTCATAGGTAAGTAGGCCCTTTGTTCCTTGAGAACCTAATGTTAAGTGAAATAAATCAGACACACAAGCTTAACTTTTACATAGTTTCACTTATATAAGAAACCCAAAATGTAAATAAAGAGCAAAATACAAGATAATAAGTAGAGATCTTTTTCAAATGGGAAGGGGAAAAGGAAATGGAGAGAGGAAAACAACTTCTAAAAAGAGAGAACTACATACAAAATGGACATAGAGCTTCTGCAAATGGGATAGGAAACAGGAGTTGGAGAGAGCAGGGAGGGATGAGGGGAGGGGGTAAAAAATTCAGATGTGTTATGTACATGTACAAACTCCCCACAATAAAATGTAATCCTTATGTACTGCAAAACATGTCTTAATAAAAAACAAAAAGAAAAACATCAAATGCAAAAGGCAACAGAATTTGGAAAGTATTTAGTCAAAATTTAAGAAAAAAAGAGGCAAATGGTTGACACCCAGAAGCCCAGGACTGAGGCACAGACAATTTTCATTTTTATTTCCACTCCCAAGTTTTGCCCTCTTGTTTTCCCTGAGATCCCTCCCACTTTACCCCTCAACCTTAACTAACTTCCAGTGACTTTGCTCAGTCTTTGGGAATCTTCAGTTTATAAAAACATCTGCCCTCTGCTGAAAGGGACAGACTATATCTCCAGGGCAGAGTGTGTGATCTTGGCAGACCTGGGTCTTGCCTTTTTACCAGGCCATCAAGATTATCACTAGGCCTGGGGACAGACAGCAGCCAAGAAGCCACACGGACCACAAAGAGCACCTCCATCACCAAGTGCACATCCTCCTGGAAGTCTATGGACTCCAGATTACTTCTGAGCTAGCACCTCAGCGCAGCCCTGGCAAAGCAGGGAGGTACATGAAAGGAAAGCCAACCAGCCTGGAAACAGACACAGAGCAAGAAAACACAAGCCAGCAGTTCCCAAAATCCACATCCCTGGCCTGACACCAGTTTTAGTAAATATGAAACATAAATAATGCAGTGATATTCCTCTCCTGTATGAAGATGTTTTAAACACACACTGCACAGGCTTAGTGACGCATTATTGCTCAAGGAAGCAAATCTGTAGACACTTTATACCCACACTCAAGAATCTGAATCCTGTTTTCTTATGAAAATCATTCAGAACTTCAAGGTAGTGAAGGAACAGTGAAAACAGGACCTAAGGGCTAAAGTTAACTACTAAAACTGCATTTTATAAGCAGCTTCCTTCAAGCACAGAAACAGGTTCACATGCACAATGTGATATTGTGTTTTAGAGCGAGTTCTACAGGCTGCCCTGTGTGAATGCCGTAGAGTGTGGGGGAATTTCCGTCCCTAGCAGGGTGTGAGCAACGTCCTAGCAAAGGAGGGGGTGTGAAGGAACAAAGGGCCTTTTGACATCGGCCAGAGGAGGGAGACCACGCTGCACTTGCACAAAATTCTGCTGGCCCAGGAGGCAGCCTCAGCTTAGCTTAGCTTAGAGGAGCAACTGCACCATGGGTCAAAGGAAGATGGACTCTCCCAAAAGGAGATCAGGACCTAGAAGGCTATCTACTCTGAGGAAAACACGCTGAGGGCTGAGCAGAGGGTTGGCTAGTAGGGGAGGTGGACAGAGAAAGCAAAGCTCTTACTCTCTCCACGCACCCCCAAGGCATGCATGCCTCTGCTTCCTGAAGTCAATGTCTCAAGTCCGTCCAAACTGAGCAGTATTTACCCCAGGCAGAGGCTGGCAGAGGGACAGTAAGATGGAAGTGGACTCAGTGCATACTGAGATGCAAAAGAAGGGAACATCCCTGAGAAAAGGCCCCCGCAATTACCAAGAAATTGTGAGGAGCAAGTAAAGTGACTGTGATCCAATTTAATCCACAAGGCAAACAAAAGAAAAGGCAAAATATAAATGTGAAGAGTAAATACGAAGTCACAAGATGAAATGAGGACGGGCAATGGAGTCAGTTCTTCCACGCTTGTGAAACCGTTCTCAAAGCACATGCACACTCATAAAACAGGTCAGGACTTTATAGGGACTTAATGGTCAGAACTCTAATGGCTGCTCTCTCAGGGCACGGAGGTGGCAGAGCACACAGTGATACAAGGATACCTAACCTGAAGAAAGCTCTTCTCGCAAAGACAATGGAGCCTTTCATGTGAGAGGGCCTAGGAAGCTGCCTCCCCCACCCTGAGCTTTTTTGAGGAAAAACAAGTACCATTCCAATGTGGCAATGTAGTCCTCCATCATGGAGGACGTTTCAGAGTTAGAAATGTGTAAGGCCATCAAACAACCTCAAAGAATCACTTTAGAGAAGAAACGGACACACGAGTCCTGATCACACTGAAATTAGCAGCGGAACCCAGATCCCTGCACACCCACCAATATCCACTCAGGAACCAACTCAACACGTGGGTAAAGATCTATGCTGCGTCATTAGTTAGAATCACAAAACCCTTGAAATAATCAAAGAACAAAGGAAAGTTTAAGTCAATTTGGGGGCATCTGTGTAGCGGAATATTTACCTAGACCTTCATGTTACATTTGTAAGGCCTTTGTAGTAATAAAGGAAAGGTTTACAATATAACAATAAGGACATACTAAGGAATAATAATAAGGAAAAATCTAAACATAACATACATTAATGAATACAGTGTAAAAGAGATATACGCCAAAATAGCGAACATACATCTGGACAATCATGCAGAACACATGGGTCTTTTTTCTTATTCTTCATATTTTATGGTATTTACAAATTGTCTGTATTAGGAAACTTGTCCCTGGGTGACCACACATTTGCTCAGACTGCTTCCGCTTTCACTGCTTTATGCTGTATGTAGGGTGGCTTTTATTAGACAGAAACTCAAATGGCCCCAGGGGCACAGCTAGAGGCCCTTGATCCAACCAGTCAATGCCTCCTAATACATGCAGATAAGCTGCATTACTGCTTCAGGTCTTCACTCTCCCTCCATCTGTGTCTATTTCCAAGGCACCCCAGCGTTAGGGACCCACTCCTGTCCACGTAACTTAGTTTATCCAATGGCCTGTCAGCTTCTTAACACAAGTAGCTTCTGGAGATGTGCCCGTTAAGAGTAGGTTTATGTTCCTATAGTTTTAACATCACTATGAGAAGGATGCACCACAATCATCTGCTGATCCCAAGAGCAGGATGACAGGCATAATGATCAAAGCCACCCTCAGACTAGCTTGGTCAATATCAGCCAACAATCTTCTGGCTTTGGGGATATAAATGGATCTAGTAGAGTCACCCTGCCAACATCCACATAAACCAATCAAACCCTAGCCAGACACAGATATGTGAGCTGTAATAATAAAATGATTTTTATTTAAAGTCCTGAAGTTTGGCATGGTTTGTTATGTAGCAACACTGCTAGCTAATACAATGTGGCTGAATGTATGAATTAGAAATTAAAACTACTACACCTGAATCTATTGCAACTAGGAACTACATTGCTTTCCAAAATAATTCTCTTAAAGACCAATGGTGAGTCACATTAATAAATATTTTTTAGACAGGCTGCTAGACTTACCAGTTACATAATAAAATAAATGACTGCAATTTAAGAAAGTCAGCCAAAAGTAGTTTGGTGAGAACAACATTCCAGTGGTAGCTGAAACTAGAGAAAAGAGCTTTCATTTGGAACTACTGGGTGTTGGTTTGTACTCTGTCCTCAAGGGAAGCAATATCAAATTAGAGCAAAGAAAATGACAAACACACTCTTATGCATCAGGGGGTTAACAGAGAATGAAGAGGAGTAAGTATGGCAACTTTCCCACATTATCTTATAGTTTAATTTTATTGGCAAAATGAGCAATAGGGACACCAAAGGTTTAGATTGGTCATTAGTGCACTTTTCTTTTGTAAGGAACCATCCTTATCTTTTTCCACCTGTGTTCCACGTCTCCTGCCCAGCCAGA